TCTTATTTTGAAAAACATATTGGGATATGGAATACCCAGATCATGTAAAACACTCTACCTGGGATGCCTCACACATGATGTATTTCAAAAGAATGATGAATATTTATTAAAAATATTACTTTCAGCAACAAGAAAAACCATCACAAAATTATGGTATAGACAAGACCCTCCTGCGGTGGAGCAGTGGCTGAGCATTGTGGAAGAGATCTTTGTAATGGAGAAAATCACATATAGACTAAGATTGCAGGAGGACAAGTTTGTGGTTAAATGGGAAAAATGGAGCGACTAYAGACGTAAGGAGAATCCCACTCTTGTATCCAGTTAAATATGGACATGGCTGTCTAACATTGTATATGAAGTCGAATGTATTGATGCCTCTCCACTGTATATGTTCAGAAATGTTCAATAAAAAATAAGTATAAAAAAAAAAAAAACTCTTTAGTTTTCCTGAAAGTGTATTTCTTCTGCATCCTCATCTATGAGTGAAACTACCCACTTTTTAAAAGAAAATTAATTAGCAGCTTTTTGAGTCTTTGACGGTTTTATAATTTCCTGTGATCATGACCAGACTGTATTTTTAGAGCATTGAATGAAAAATGTCTTTCTCTGTTGTGCTGGTTTATACTTGCATGTTCCCTTTTAAAACCCTAATTAAATCAGGCAGAAGCCTTAAAAGGTTTTATTCTAGCTTTCCATTTTTACAATCGCAGACAGGATTCTTGGACCTGTTTTTACTTACGAACAAACCTTACAAACATATTCCATGTTTTATCTTCTGTTTTGTCATTTCTGCTGTTGGGAAAATCGTTCTTGTGTTGCCCCAGCAAACGAAACTCCTCTTTCTATCCTTTAGCTCCTCTGTTTTAACACTTTCTATTTTTAGCTGTTATCACTCTCTTTATTTTAATTTGTAGTTTTACAAGCTAGGTTTGAAGAGAAGGCCAGCAAAAATGACTTTTGCATCAGTTTGATTGTCTTGAGATGGTTTTATGTCAATATAACACGTATCAAAAAAACTTTAGACACACTGACTTGTTGTCTTTCACATATCCTGCTTTTAGTTCACCTCAGGAGCAGTTAGCTGAGCAGACTGATTTTTTCTTCTGTGTGCCACCTGTTGGGAGTTTGAGTGTTTTACTTCCTTGTTGTCTTTGTACTCTCTCACCATCTCCTGTCTTTATCCCCCTTTCTCTCTATACGTCTCCGCCTGGTTCCTTCACATCTCTGCACTTCAGATGGCAGCCTTACAGAGTCCCTTCTACGGGGATAAGATGAACCTGTACTCTCTTTGCAAGAAGATAGARCAGTGCGACTACCCCCCTCTTCCATCAGATCACTACTCCGAAGAGGTAAGTAGTGTTATCCGTTGCCTTTTGCTGTTATGGCACCAAACCAGACTCGATTTGTGTTTGTGACAGAAGCCACTAGTATTGATTCCTAACGCTTTCATAATAAAAACTAACTGAACTGTTTAAAGCAGAGGGACTTGGCTTCTCTTTATTTCAGCTTCCTGACTTTTTCCCCCTCATAAAAAGTTAGCTGTTTTTTTTTTTTTTAATGTTGTATCCTCCCATCTGTCTGCCCTACAGTACAAGCATGATTTTACCCTGATTAGAAGACTGGCTATGATTTTAACCATTTAAAAAAATAAAAGCACGAATCAAAAGCTTTGTGGTCATGCTTGTCGAGTGGGCTAGTGTCATGTTTCCCTCAATTAATCATCTCCTGCAATTCTGTGAAGACTTACCCTTACACAAAAGATGTAATTTAGTCAGACTTTGGTTAAAAATGTTCTGATTACCGGTGACATGCGCATGAATCTGCGTGGCTTTGTCTTTGCATGCCGGCTTTGTGTGGGTAGCTCTTTTTTTCTCCTAAATGTATTTAGAAAAGTGCCCGAGCACTAAAATCCTCTGACACTGATTAGACATTCACACAGATGGACTGCAGAGGTCTTTGCATGAATTCTGTCTCTTATTAAAGGCACATTTTAGCCTTTTTGAGTCTTTGGATTTGTTTGATCATTCATGTATTTTACCACAACAAACATTCATTTTTCATTTTCAATTGAAAAATGCAATACTTCTTTGCCTAAGTTGTGACTTGTTTGTCTGGACAAAGTCTTTTTTATGTCAGCAGACATTGTTTTATTTTTTCTTTTAATAAATAATCAACATCATTATTAGTAAATGTACTTATTCTCAAACCTGGCCTTGCTGGCAAATACTTCAGTGTTGGATATAAATCAGTCCACAACTAACTTTTATAAACTGAAACCTGCTAAATTTATAATGCTGTTTTAGATCAACCCAGTGGGAACAGTTATTTTGTTTACTACATATCTGACCTAGAAGGTCTTAATCTGGTATTTAGTTCATAGTTGTTTCTGATATACTTCCAGTGTTTTTAAGACACATTAACTCATATATGAACTTAGTGTTTCTGTAAATTAGAATATTACTGTATAATCAGGTTTGAAGAAGAAAGAAGTGCTTAAATCTACACAAAGTTCAACTAGCATTTGTACGACCTCCTACATAAAACACAATTATCAGTCTTTTCTAGGAAAATAGGATTGTTCAGCACTTAGCTCTGTGCTCTTGCTTCCTTTGATATTGTTTGGAGTTCACAAAGCATCTCAGGAACATAGAAAGTGTTTTGCCATGTAGCTTTATGGAATTTAACCCAGCATTGCTTACAATTAAAGGGGACATATCATGAAAAATCTACTTTTTAGCTGTTAAATGCATTTTGTTGTGTACATGGAGTCTGTAGGAGTTAGGGTTGAGCATAATCGTATCATGTGCAATTAATAGTCAGAAAAACATTAATTGATTATTTTTTGGCACTTGACGATTAATACGATTAATGCCACCAGACAGAGTCCACTCCTCTCTGCTTCAAATATGACGAACATTTAAAAAAAAGTTCTGTAATTTATTTATCAACACAATTTAAAAACTGGAGTATAGCCTGAAGTCTGTAATTTTGACCCAGTTTGGAACAGATTTTTATGAAGAGYAAATCTTTCCCACTAAATTGGCCATGTGACTAGGACATAAGGTTGTCCAGGGACTCCAAGGGGTTAATTGTCAAATTAATCATTATTGGCTAAATACCACAATTAATCATGATTAATTTTTTTGCCAATATTGCCCAACCCTAGTAGGAGTGCGGCAAATTTAAATTTAGTTTCTCCTGGTGCTGTGTAGATATCTTTAGATTCTGTTTGGGTTATACTTTTCAATCCTTTCAGATTTCTATAATGTTTTCTAAACAATTACATCAAATTAGTTGCGACAAACCCACCAAATAAGGTCTGGACTTAACTACAGTTTGGTGGTCTTCATTCCCCTCCGGTTCTGGCTTCAACATGTGAGGCTGGTTGGACAAGTCTTCCCTTGTTGACATCTTTTAATTACTTTGTCAATAAAACATTTCTGTTTCGCTTCATAGTCGTACTCCCCTCTATCAAACTGGGGGTCGGGATGTGAAGCTCCTCGTCTGGATTTAAAGAGGCAGCCTCAAAATGAGTTGATCTGTCTCACACCTCAGAAAAGAGGTGAAAGAGGGGCTTGTGGAGTTACAATAAGGAGGAATTCAGACCAAGGCATTACAGTTTCACTTCATATCAACCCCAACTGAATGTGAAAAGGAGGATTTAAAAGCATAATATGTCTCCTTTAGGCTCAACTCACTTTAGCAAACATTTCTTTTTGCTAACATTGAATTAATATAAAATTCCAGTATCTATTGTTCTGTGATGAACTTTTGACTTGTTCAGGGTGCACCTGGCCTCTCATATGATACTGAAGAGACCAGCCCCCTGTAACCTGGAGAGAAAAACATAGGGAAAGATGATTTTATTTATTTTTTGGCTTTTATTTAAGACAGGTAATCTCATGGAGACAGGTACCGGTAGTCTCATTTACAAGAGAGACCCCTGACACACACATACACACATCAGTTACACAAACTTTGTAAAACATTATGTTGACAATTAAAAGAGGCAAAGTTAAACCTAATCTAAAAATAAGAGCAAGAAAAAGTGATTTGTTGGTTAAAGTGACTCGTTGCTGCAGCATGTTTATAAAACAGTATTTTATGGCTTCCACTCTACAATCAGTTTCATCATACCAGCTCAAGTTCACTGTGGCACTTGTGCTTATTCATGTTCCTGTTGTTCTAAAGTAAATCCTGCAGGGGAAGGCTTTCATTAGGCCACGGTTTGTACTTCATTAAGCTGATGGAGGCTAATTCTGAGACGTGGTGTCTAAATGTGTCCTTTTGTGCTCGCAGGAGAGATTGTGCAAGTGTATATTTGTAACATGGGCTCTATTTTCATACACACACACACACACCACGCTGAGCTTCAGCGTTACCCCACATGTCACCCCCATCCCGGAGAAAGGAAGACAAAGCGAAGAGAGCAGGAATGATAGAGCGAGAGACAGGGCGATGGAGGGATGGAGATGAGGGGGGTGCCTGCAGCGCCTGTCTGGATGTAAACAATGCTCCTGAAGGATCGGCAGCAAACTGTCAGCTGCTCATCTTTGTTGTGTCATTTAACCATCTCCGTCTCTGCACACCCCCCCCCCCCCCCACTACACACACACACACACACTTCTATCTCCCACCCTCCTCCTCCACCTGACACCCCCCCCACCCCCCACTCGCCATGCAAAGAAGCGCATGAATATTTTACATATCTGCATCTCTGCACGCCCTCCGTCTCCATTCTGTGCGACTAATTCTCAGACCGTCTGAATTTGCATCTTTCCCTCACTTTCCTTTCTCACTCTGCACATATGCACACGTACACGCAACGGCAGCCAGGAAGTCAGCAGACGGTTACCATGGCAACCGTGTATAGATGATGATGTGTGTGTGTGTGTGTGTGTGTCTTTTCTCCCTTCTTTTTTCCTTTCCATCTTTTATAATCTTTCTTTTTTTAATGAAGGCAGTGGCTGTTCGCCTGCACGCCTATCTTATCTGCTCCAATCAGCCGCTCTTGCCTGGCCTCAGGTATCAGCGATGCCTCTGGGTGGCAGGGTGTGTGTTTGAGGGAGGGTCCGCATGTGTGTGGGCCTAGCAGACCCCACGAGTGATTAATCCATCCTGAAAACCTGTTGGTTTGTAAGTAAATTCATTAAATGTGTTTTTTTTTTTCCCCCCCCCCCCCCCCCTCTGTTTACGTCTCAATCATCACTCTGAGCAGCTGAGGAGTCTGGTAGATATGTGCATCAACCCCGACCCGGAGAAGAGGCCGGACATCACCTACATGTCCGGCATGGCCAGACACATGCAAAATATGACAAAGGGCTGTTAAAGCCAGAGTTCACACTATGTCCTCCTCCTCCTCCTCCTCCTCCTCACATCACCTTCCTGCTTCATATTCTGGACTCAAAATACAGTTTTCACCTTTTACACAAACACTTACTCCAGAGTCTGGCTCCTTGTGATAACCGCTACATGAGACAGATGTTTTCTGTCGAGGTAAAGGCTGTAAACGTCTCGCCTTCGAGTTCATCGATTCAAATGTTTCTTTTTATCAAATGTTATCAATTAGATATTAACGTTTTTAAGTCGATATGGAATTCTTTCACTCTTGAGCTGTCTTGAGTGACATCGCAGACCCCTTTATCAGTTGATTAATTTAAATCACTTTTTTTATAAACTGCAGTTTAAAGTGATCTCATACATAGGCGGTACATCTCTGTACTGCCTGATAGTGTTTGAGGAAAAACACCAGACTGTATCTCACACCTTTTTTGCTTAAAAATGAGTTCTGAACTGAACCGGATGTATTGTAGCTCACTAAGGAGTTGCTGTGGCTTTAAGGCAGTCATGTTTTCCTCTCCAGCTCACACTCCCAGAAGCTATTTAAAGCACATATGCTGCTTTACAGGGTGCCTATCAATTCAAAAATCAATACGCAGAAATGCTGGGGAATTTCAGCTTTTATGGCTTCAAAAGTTAGCCGAAAAAGAAAGAGAACTTTTAGCTGAAATTTAAATGGAAATTTTATTCATTGTCAACAACAAATCTGAGACAAAACAGAATAATTGATGGTTGAAATGTTGTCATATTGCAGGGTTTTTTTTATTCTTCTTCCTGGTACTAGAAGCCTGGCAGGGTTATGTCAAATGAATGTTTTAGAACAGGAAAGATCATTTAAGAGGTAGACTGGAGACATGCTCAAGGGGAACATGGGCAAATGTCTCCACAACTCTTTGAATGCGAGTCAACTTGACACCTTTTGTGTTGTCTGAAAACTTCACAATGTCTGTTTTGACAGCCTCATAGTTGCCGATGCTGTAACAAAAGCAGTTTTTACGTCTTCTGTTTACCCTACTTATGACTCCAGATTTTCCTCCTCGCTCAGCTCGAGCAAGATAAAGCGCTTTAACAATGCGGGGAAAAGGTCTGTAACGTCCAAAAGAAAAAAGTTAAAACAAAGATGGCCGACGGCTGCATCAGAACCACTACTTGTGATTTAAGCATCGTCGTCATTGCTGTTTGTCTCTTAGGTAGTAAAATCTTTGCCGTCCATGTTCAGTGTGTCTAACACACACTTAAATATACAGTATCTATGTCAAAGTACAGTTTATGAAAAGTATATAAAGTCTTGTGAAAAGGAAAGTGGGGTTTTTATTCTTTTACTGTAAATAAAGAAGAAAACATCCAGAGTCAGACCTTTTGGTTTGTTGGGATGGAATCGTGTCACCAGTTTATATTGTGATAAAGATGTTAGAATGAAGGTGATAACACTATTAGTGTCTTCTTTTCTCCTTTAACATCTGTTATCCCTTCATTAAACTCTGCAGTTGCTGGGGTTTTTTTTGTGTGTGTGTGTGTCTGTTTTTTGCTTGTTTGATATAACCATGTACAAAGATTGAAAATGTATCAGAGTAAAATGTAAACCTTTGTTTAACAGAATGTTTTGGAATGAATTGATGGTTGCAGATCTAAATGGGTTTAAAGAACATGTAGTGTTTTGCTATTTTTTGTTTGTAGGTTTATACATTTTCCTTCATCTAATCCCTGCTTAACTGTTTTTTCCTCGTGTAATTCTTCTTCTCATACAGTTCTGATCACGTTCTGTTAATGTTCTCGAACCGAAACAAAACAAAACAAAAAAACATGTGGATGACACCAAAAACATTTCAGTATTTTGCAGCTTTTGAAGCACTTTTGTTAGAGATTTTAGTTTTGGTGTTTATATTTTACACACATAGGTGCGGCAGTTTTCTGCACAATGCTAAAGCAGCCTCAAATTATTTTCTTTAAGCATATTTACCTAAAGCACCAGGAGCATTCATATTTACAGAAACGTACTTTGTTGTTGTTGTTTTTTTTAAATTAAAACCAAAGAAAAATGTTATAAGTAAAACTGTATGTCTGTGCTGAAATAATGTTTTGTTTACGTACAAAAACATTAGAATTTCTATCATATTTTATCCTTACGAATGGGATATTAACACACGGAGCTGAGTCACTTTAAGGATTTTGGCTATAACTTGATATGTTTTTGGTTTTTTTGTCTGCATGTAATGTGTGGCTTTGCTTCTTTGAGCTTTACTGTTTACTTCTGCATGCCCACTGAAGTTGGTGATGAAGAGTCTAGAAAGTAAAAAAGAAAAAAAATGACAATAATTATTGTCTTGATATGTTTTTAGTTGCTTTTTGAACCTTTCATGTCAAATGAAATGTCTTTATTAGAAATGCTTTGTATGCAAACTGAATTTAATAAAGCTTTTGAAAATTCTCAGCTGTTTTTTAATGTATTTTCTTTTCTTTTCTTTTTTAATGTCAGACATTTGCAGCATCTTAAAGTGATTGTTGATTTTTGACTGCACTTTTTGGTCGTTTGTGCTTAAAGGGGCAATATCATATAAAATCAACTTTTTTGAGTCTTATATCATGTTATAATGTTATACTCTCATAAAAAAACATGCCCAAAGCCTTGCTTTGACTCATTCATGCATGTTTGAGAAATCCAGCAGCGTTTTTAGGAAGCCATGCTGAGGAGCAAAACGACAGGTGGG